TCCTCGCTTCCAACCCCATATTTTAGGAGGCAGTTGGTTCCCAAACCACTCCTGTACTTGATGGAATACTCTTTAAGCATGTAAACAGTATTAGGTACTTAATTTCAATTTTCTTTTCAACAAAGCAAACCTAATGATCAAATATATTTACAAAACATATGTACAAATATTCAAGGAGTATATCAAATTCACCCTTTTAATCACAACCGCTACAAATATGAAAATTTCGCGGAAAACCCAAAAGCATTATTATTTTTAATTTAAAGAAATTTTAACTAAGTGCTCGACCAAAACCAAATATAATACTCCTTGACAAAGTAATTCAACGCTCCAGGGGAGCCCTAATCTTCCCACCACCAAGTGGAGGCCACACCGCGTGAACCCGAGACTAATAGACCGCAAACCGCTAACAGTCGCCACTCGGGTTGTACGCCTTCCCTGAGGCCGTCGGCAACAGAACAGTTTAAAAGTGGACTGTTGACGGCTCAAGGCTCAGGGGAGGCGGCCGTGGTGGGAGTTAAGGCGGCAGCTAGCTAGGGCTGCCTCCATCAAATGGGGAACGATGGTACACCAGTCGCGGACACTCAGCTAACGGGGGTGAGAAGGGTCTAGCGGACTGATGAGTGGCCGTGAAGTTCCTCTCCACACGCTGAGGGGGGGCGATGACACCCCCGCCCCTGGGGGAATTACCCCCCGACTGGTCGGGGGAGGGACCCCTTTCAAACCTAGGGGCCTGGTGGCTGGCCGGCGGGCGCCGAGCGTCGCCCGTCAGAGGGCGTGGCCGCCCGTGGGGTCGAGGGCCGGGCAGAGCCCCGAGAGGAGACGCCGTTTGCACCCAGACACAAAACTGCATGGTGATTGCCCTGGCAATGCGGACAGGGCCGCCGGTGCGTGCAGTCTCGCTAGAGGTGCCCTTCCAAACACGAGTAGCACCAGCGGCGCTCCTTGGCGATAGTTCGCCTCGCCGGAACCGGCTTACTTAATAATTTCGGGCACGCCGTCACCCGGTGATCGGATGCTCGACAATAAGAGCGGGGGGGCGCCACCCTGGCCGCTAGGCCACTGTAAGATGGTAGGGAGCGACGCCCTCCCGCGGGAGCTCCGATAGGCCTGGGAGGGGGGGTTCACGAGGACTTGCCCGGCGGATTCCGCCTCTCACTGGGCACGGCTCGTAAGTCGTCAACGGTGCCCGCCGCGTTCTCAATCTGCCGGCACTGCTCCTCCAAAAACCGCAGCAGGTCATTGAAGGGCGGAATATAAGAGGCCCCGTCCCCGCCGTACCTCTCCTCAAAATGTATTCGAAGGTCGAGAGGTAGACGGGACAGCACGATGTGGAGCAACAAAAAGGACCATTCGCGCACTGGTAAATCCAGCCGCCTCAACGCATTACAGGCCACCAAGACTGGATTCACCAGGTCCGGACGTAGTCTGGCCCGGTCACTAAGCAGCGGGAGGCTTAGAAGCTGTTTAACATGTTCGTCCGCAATTTGCCGAACGTTGGCATTACTTCTGGCTAGGAGGTCCCGAGCAGTCTGGTAGGCGTCGTCCGACAATTTCAGGTGACCGACGACGCCCAGGGCCTCCCCCTCCAATGAGGCCAGGAGGTACGCCATCTTCTGGCTCGGGGTCAAGTCCCTCCGGGCGTCCACTAGGCTGTCGAAAAGACCAACGAAGGTCAGCCATTCGGAAAGGACCCCGGAGAACCTTGGCACGTCCAGAGTTGGGAGTCGTCCCAACAGCTCCGGCTGAGGCTGCTTCCGAGAGGACTCGGGCAGGCCACTCATCCGAGCTTCACGCGCCTCCTCAGCATACCTGCCTTCAGCCTCGATCAACTCGTCCGTGAGCGAAAAGAACTGCTCGTAGTCCGTGAAGCAGGAGTCCAGGACTCCCTTTTCCACATCCGAATCCTCGAGCTCAGCGTAAGCCTCCTCCACTGCGGCCCTTCGAGCATTGACCTGCTCGAGCCGCTTCCTCAAGTTATAGACCCTATCCGGTCGACCTATCAAAGCATGTGCGCTGGTAGCCCAGCGCAGCTCAGTCCGCAGGCGACGAATCAGTAGCTTGTGTGATGGCATCACTACTAAATACAATTAATACGCGGCTCAAATATAAATCAAATTAACAAATAACAAATACAGTTCCTATCAAATCAAGTTAAATATAAATTACTATTTATTAAATTAAATACAAGTTAGCACAAAAAAAAACGTAAATCAAATTAACAAGTAACAAACCCTATACGATCAACAAATTATCCGATTACGTGACAACCTCATATACCTAGTCAAGGTACCTCACCTTAACAAACTACGGTAAGTACTTAGCCTTAACAAAACTCCCGCTTGCTCAACCTACGGGCGTGGCGTTCGCATTCTACCCGCTAACAACAAAAAAAGCAAACAACAAAGCAACAAAAGAAAAGAATTTTAATTTTACGTATTACGGCCGGGCGTGATTGTAGACACAAAATTAAACCAATCAAACAAACGCTCCCTGCCACCAAAATTGTTTAATTTTTATCAAGTACTACGGTCGCGCTCGACCGGGAAACGAACCCGGAACCACGCTCTGCTACCACTACGTTACGGCCTACGGCTGCTCCTACAGAGGCCAAATCCTCCGGGGCCCATTCAGCAGAAGACTTCACGAGCAGACGCAGGTCGGGCCTCAATATGGCCGCGTGGAAATGTTCTATCACAATAAACTATATGGAAAATATTGTATCCTACTACAATTAAAGGGGAGGCTAATCAAATAGATATTACTTACCTGTATGTGAGGCGACTGCTGTCTCAGGGCTCAGTCAGGCCGTAGGTGTGTATGTGTTGAGAATAGTGGTGGTTTGTGGTGTTAGTGATCATAGACCTGCCGGGACCTTCGAAGTCGGCAGCAGCCCGGACTTTGGCGCCGCTCCAAATTGTGGTAATCTTCCGCGGCGTCACCCACCGTCACTTTCTTCCTTCTTCACTAGGACAGTCTATTAGCTATACTTCCAGACGCCACTAACACTAAACTAAAGCGTAACACACCTCTAATACCGAAAACGTATCCGAACTATATCAAAGGCCACTCGAGCAAATTAATATTTTCAAATGCACTTATATGCTAGCAAATTAGAATAACCAAATTCGCGGTAAATTAGGCGCGCATAACACGCAATTCAGACTTTGATCGCAGTCAAGGTTAACTTCCTAACAATTTGTCAGCCCGGCGTCGAATTCTAGACTTAATAAAGAAACCTTCGTCGTAGCAACATCTGCTAACAAAACCGACTCCAAAAATTGAGGTTTCCCGGGTGACTTTAAAACGTGCTCTCGATAGCACTGTATTATAACAACTCTGTTGCACTCACGTTCTGACCTCGCGCCCTTCTACCCGATAACGCACGGAAGTGGGGCCAAGGTGACCTTTAAAAGTCAGCGGGCGGAACGAGTGCGAATGCAAATTTCAAAAGTTAATTGTTTGGCCTAAACAGAGTAACTTAATTCATTAATTTGTAATGAGTACAGTTGGTATAGTGCTAAATATAGTAAGTCGGCATTTAATCTACTGCTAAATGGCCCTGGTGGTAGCTTCGTAATAAGCCGCTCAATGTCTCGCGCTCTTACATGTATTAAAACTTTTCTATATATATAATTTTTTACGGGATGTTACAAATGAGGTACCCAATAGGAGTGCATAAAAATTTGAAATAATGAATTCATTTATAGTCAATATCATAATATACAGTCAACATCCTTAGATTATTAGAGTAAATAATGTAAGACAACATCTTACAAAAATCTTTACTGTATATTCACGACGATATTACAACTGTGTATTCGCGGGGAAATGCCAACAAACGAAAATGGTGTATTCTGAGCCGATAATAACTGAATTTAAGCAAAAATAAATAATAAATATTAAAATCTAAACCTATGAAATAAATTTGAATAAATTTCAGAACATATTTTCAATATGAAAGACGTTGGCAAACAAATGTCATTTTTTTCTTCTTTTAATTAATGTTTTCTTTTGATAGGTAGTTAATCTATAATATAAAAATGAATCGCTGAATGTGTTGCTAAGCGCAAATCTCGAGAGCAGCTGAACCGATTTTTCTAATTATTTTTTTATAAGATTCCTTGAAGTACGAAGATGGTTCTTACGGAAAGAAAAATTTAAAAAATTGCCGGAAAAAGTCTAAAAACAACACTTTTCTATATTCCCATACAAAAGATTCGTAATAATACTTAAAAGTCAATTTGAACTTTAATACCATATCATAAAGTTGTTTTTTATAATTTTTATTTTTTGACATAATGTAACTGTTGACTTATCAACTTTCTTTTTTCTTTTTTATCTTACTAGCTGACCCGGTGTCCCAAATAGCAGAATAAGTATTAAAAAAAAATAAAAAATAAAAGAATCGACTGTTAGGCGGTACGAAGTTCGCCGGGTCAGCTAGTTTTTAATAATAATTTTACTATAAAATTTTAATATTGAATAATTTAATTTTAATAAATTCTATTAATTATAGTAATAAGTTCTATTATTAAGTAAAATAATGGTGCCAATCTCAGAGTAATATAGTCTGTCAAGAAAGTCATGAAAATAATATTTTTGGAACTACTGCTTTTGCTTGCACAGGCAACAATAAATTATTGTCAAACTGAGTAACTCACCTGTCATATTGTGGCTTTGTAGTTGATGTGCTCTAAGATTTTTTGTTATATTTCGAGTTTTTCTTATTATCGTATGACCGTTTAGTCTTTACTACGCGTTCATTTTGAGTTTGCCGTCGTCGACCGTTACGACGTCACAACTAACGGAACCGTAGACGAAAAAAGTCATCATGTTTATGTTTTTTAGTATTCATATTTTCAATAAAGTGAAATAATAACGTGTTCGCTAAAATAAAATATTTTTTGTATGATGATGATGATGATCATGAAATAATAACGTGTTCGATAAAATAAAATATTTTTTATAGTTTTATTTTACATTTTAAATATTTCAAATTAAAGATTTTCAAAATCGCTCGTTTTTGTGTCAATGTCATCACTCCATTCTGTGTCACTGTCATCAGTCTCTCCACCCACCGAAATAATCAATTCTCTTTCGTTGAGTTCTTGCAACCTACCGCTATCCCAATATTGTTGCCGTAAACGGTCAACGTGGTTTACCTCTTTTTTCCAGTGCTCTACAGAGATACTATTAATAGCTTCCAGAGTGAGTTTTTGTATTTCTTTTTCAGACTGGCTTACATTTTTATCGGCTACTTTTTGCTTCACTAGATTCCACGCGTGCTCGATGGGATTCAAATCACATTGGTACGGTGGTAGGCGTAAGACTTCGTGTCCATGACTTTGGACAATTTCGTCAATTTCATATTGTTTGGTAGGCTTCGAACGACATACTACATAGTATAATTCTCGCTTCGTCATCTTTGGGTCAAAGGATATACCATTTTCCTGCAACCAATTTTGCATAGCTTCTTTGCGTGCCACTGAAGTCGGTGGTTTATCAATCTGGCGGCTGTGATACGGTTTATTGTCAAGTACAAGAATGCTATTGGGAGGTAAGTTGGGTAGGAGTTTTTCCTGTATATACTTTTTTTAAATTATTTGCGTCCATTTCATTATGGTAGTCCCCTGCAGTGCTTTTGCATTTATAAAGGAGTTCGGCACCTTTGACAAAACCATTCTCGCTGCCAGCATGGACCAAAATCCAACGTTGTCCGGGATTGAATTTTTTTTACGCTTGCATCAGTTGCATTTTGCCAGCATTTTGAAACGGTATAGTGGCTGTTTATCCACGTTTCATCCAAATATATGACTGGTTTTTTATGGACTCCCTGTTCATCATTTTCACGTAATCTCCGCAAGTAACGTGCTCTCCATGCTGCTATCTCCGGTTTCTGAATAAGATATTGTCTTATATTTTTACATTTTGTAAACTTATATCCAAGCTTCGTTTTTATAATTTTCCAGAGAATGACTTTTTGCCCAGGAAAATTGAAATCTTTCTTTGCTTCTGCTAATATCTTACGCAACGTAGGAACTTCCTTTTTAACTGTGTAGAAACGGTTAATTATGTTTCGAAGCGAACACACCATGAAATCATCTATTTCCAACCTCTTTGTGGCTATTTTCCTTTTTCTCGGCGACGTCAATTTTATTTCTTTTGTACTTGAAGTACTGGGCTCCGGTGAGCTCGTTTTAATTTTTTTTGCTTCAGTCTTTATATTTCTTAAAGTACGTTCAGATATACGTTTTATACGTGGTAGAGCCATGCTGCAGCTATATTATGGTTGTAGCACGAATGGATCGGCTCGACCGGGGAAGGACCACGCTCTCACAGAAAACCAGCGTAAAATAGCAGCTTAACGCTGCTGTGTTTCGTATGGTGAGTGTAGAGAACCGGAGATCCTTTTTACTGGCAAAGAGGCATTCCATCTTAGTCCTCACGGGTGACAACGCATCTGCATCTTGAGTCTTTATTGAGGATAGATGTAGATGTCTATGGGTCACAGTAACCACTTACCATCAGGTGGACTGTGTGCTCGTTTGTCACCCGATCCTATAAAAAAAATACCAGTGGCGGCCGCAGTTCTCTTGATAACGTTATCAAATGATTTTAATAGCGCCTGTTATTTCTTTTCATTTTCCAACAACTTAATTTCTGGCAATACTTTTCATAGCAAAAACAAAAAATCAACAGTAACAAAAACAACAGCAAAAACAGTAACAAACTAGAGAACGTACGGGAGCATAAAAAACGGACGTAAGTACACACTACAAACGCGAAATGAGGAGGCGCGGCGGGAGGTAACGGCATTCTTGAAGTGAACGACTAGTAGAGATCAAAAATGAAATGCAGTGTTTATAAGAGCGGTACCAGACAAGTCTTATTTAAAGTGTTTCAAGAGTGTATGGCCGAATTTCAAGCGGGAAAGATTCTTTCCGATTTAGACGATGTTTACGGTCGAACAGCAAAGATAACTGGTATCATTTGCTTTTAAGTATAATTTATCCGTTTTATTATATTGTTTACAAATAGTTGAGGTTATGAAATTTGTTTAAGAATTACATTATATACTACACACTCAATAGTTTTGGTCCTTTTGTATTGTTTGTTTAGATATGAATAAGCTATTTGTTATTTACATACCTATATTGGTTTCAGGTGTTTGTGAAAGCACAATTCGGCGCATAGTGGACGACAATGGATATATTGTTCGTGGAGGATCTCTGTATAATGATATAGACAAACTTGTCATCTTAGTAAGCGATGCTAGTTCCAGTGAATCTGAAGAGTCAGAAATGGACCAATTTAATTACGCAGGAGCTTCAGGCAACATTTCAGGAGTTGAACGAGGTATTCAACTCAGATTATTTGGACTCAGATTAATAACGAAAATATAATAACTACGTATCAACATTTTTTATTGTTTTATTTTTGCACCTTGGGTGTCTGCTGCCTGTAAAGACTGGTATTCTGTAAAACTTGCTTTCCCTAATTACTTGTAGGATACACAGTCAAATTATCTCAATTATAAAGTATGTGAATTTAGCTAATTACTGTTGCTGGGATTCACAAGGGTCAAGGGTTACGCAATAAAAGCATGTACTTGAAAAAATATGACAGTAAAGGGACCATAATATTAAATCAGTTTATAAAATAAAACAAAAAGTATCAAAACTTTTTGATTGAAATCTATAGGGATGCCGTATAAAAGATAATGGCGCCCTCCTTTTTTTATGAGTTTCTTGACATACTGTATGCATGTAATTATACTTTAAGGTGCAAACCAAAGAAGCTTAACACATAATTAATATTTATACTTTCTTTCCATATAATATAAATTTATATATCTAATTTTTAAAATGGCAATCTGAAGAAACGCGAAGGATAGAAACAGCGATATTTTTTTATACGCCCAACCCACACATAGACAAAATTATGATTCTGTGAAAATTTCTCTGATTTCATACAAAGTTGGATCTTCCTGGTCTAGACAAATCGTTACAATTATATAGATACATAATGTATTCTATTCTTTTCTTTGATATGGGCCACAGAGTACGTAGGTAAATGAACTTTGATATTAACTATAACGGAAATATTGGCTCTACTCTTTGATTGACTCTGTGACTTTAATTTGACGTAGTTAGGTTTGGTCAGGCTCAGAAAGGCTAGAACCCAGAGTCGTAAAGCCAGTTTAAATAATGTAGTTAGGCTCAGAAGGGCTAGAACCCAGAGCCGTAAAGCCAGTTTAAAAAATTTGATTTGACGTTTGTGTTATAAACTTAACCTATAAATTAAAATAAAATAAAAAGCATATTTTACAAAATGTTGACTAGGTTTGTTTCTTCGCTATTTCATAAAATATTAGTTTGAGATAAATATGCAACAAAGCTCTTGTTTAATTTTCAGATTACGGCTTAAACGGGATTTTAAATTATTTGTAAGATGTCTATCCGAAAAGCCACCAGAAAGCGAAGGCAATTCAATAAATTTACAAACGAAAGATCAAGAGGAACAGAAGAAAAATGCAAAAGACACTCAAACAGAGAAAATTCAAGCTCTCCTGAAAAGTATGATGACGGCGCCCAAAATAAACGAGAGCGAGTATAGGCAAAAGTTTGCGACGGCTCCTGAGATACCAAGGAAGCGAAAACAAAAGACAGATGGGATTGAAGAGACAACTCAAAATATCGGTAATAAAAAAAAAAAAACTTAGCCACCAAAGTATATATTTGACATTAAATCGTAACCCCAAATTAATGAATCTGAACAATATAATTTCACACATCACAAATTAAAAATGTTTAGATAATATTTTCAAATGTTATTTGATAAATTTTAGATTTTGATATATCTCATTTAGTTTAATATGTACATATTGTGTGTTAAATTCTGCATAATACTTCGGGTTGGGTTTAGAATCAATGGTGGTGTCAAGGAGGCTTATCTCAAGCCCCCATGCAATTTTAGCTGCCAGAGCTGCATCGAAATATTTAAAATTATTTTCTAAAAATATTCATAAATCACTAATTAATATGTGAAACGGAACTTAAATTACTCTAAATACTTAATTTTTTAAGTTGACATTGACAGTAACAGATATACTCGACCAAAGAGAATATTATCCAAATAAATCCAGGGCGTTTATACTCGTCTTCGCAACTCGCATAATAAGAGTCATTCCGTTGCTTCAGAGTTTATGTGAATGTGCTCCTTATTGTTATTATCTGCCTCCTATTTTTCGACGACTTTGCTACCCCTCTGGAGACCGATTGCCTCCTTATTGTTATTATCTGCCTCCTGTTTTTCGACGACTTCACTACCCCTCTGGAGACCGATTGCTTGCTATTTTATAATGTTTTTGGAAATGGTGGAAGTAATAAAATATGTTTACTTATTAAAGTTATTATAAAAGTTAACATTTAGGTGTTTTATTTGGTGCAAGAGCAAGTGAAGCGAGTTCGAGACTTGAGGCACCCCGACTTGGCCAGGTTAGGTTAGTAGGAGATGGCACAGTCGAACGAGCGAGTGAACAGACCCCTCCATCCCCTTTGTGGTTATTTTTTTATAAACCATCCATAAATAGGAGCCCTGCTTAGCGGGGCTCTGTCGACTACACTTTGGTTTTACTTCGGCGGAGGGGGGACGCCCCTCTTATTACAGTGATTTTTCTCAGAAATCGTTTAATAAAAATTTTAATCTTCAACATTTAATATATAAAAATAGGCACGTCCGTGCAGTGTGTGCAAAATGCAGAAATCATCCGGTCAACACACTGTTTTTGTGTTAAACCACTTCGAAAGTCCTAATAAATCATTGCTCTTGAATTTTCTCGAGTCAATTCCATTTTCTCAACGACTAAATAAGTTTGACAAAACCTTGTGACAAGACCGAGAATCTTTTTTTAAATAAATATATGGTATTCGATTTTTAAAACCAAGGGGTTTTCAATTAAAAAGATTTTAATATGACAGGAACAGTGGAAATATTCCATTCCCGATACTTTTAGTGCAGCCCTCGTATTATTCCCAAATACTCAAACACTACTCAATTTTGAGATGCCGTTAATTCTTTTGCTGTCTCTATTATTAAGTCAAAGCGACTGTGACGCCACGCGACTTAACATCTTAAAATTGACTAGTGTCTGGGTATTGGGCCATTATTTCATCATTTGATAATTGACAATATTTTTCTTTTATAAAAGTTTTTTTTTTATAGGATAGGGTGACAAACGAGCACACAGTCCACCTGATGGTAAGTGGTTGCTGATTGCTGTGGCCCACAGACATCTACATCTATCTTCGATTACAAATCAAAATGCAGATGCGTTGTCACCTGTGAGGGCTAAGATGGAATGCCTCGTTTCCAGTAAAAAGGGTCTCCGGTTCTCTACACTCACCATACGAAACAGCAGCGT